ATATTTTTTTAATTTTATAAATTATACAATATTAATAAAAATTCTATTAATCAAATGATATCAATAAAGGGTGCAGAGAGATGAAGTCATAGAGTAAAAGAAACTCATTTCCTCACATATAATCAAATATAAAATGAAAAGTTCAAAGAGAGACACCAAACGAAAAGCAGGCAAGAAATTTGAAGAGTCACTGTTTATATGAAATATCTAAGTGTTCAATAAACATAAAAGACTCAACAACCTCTTTGGAAATTAGAGAAATGTAAAATAAAATCACATCATACACACAAAACTAAATAGTATTGAAGAACATATGGAGTAAATGAATGCTCATGAAGTGAAGGTGGAGTTTAAGTTGTCATTATCTATCTGTGGAAACTATTTTGCTACTAAAGATACATGATACTCCCCCACCAGAAGCAGAGGCTCCTAGAAATGGCAGCAGATGTGAACTCTAATGACATAGAAGGACACAGCTCTAATGCTCAAAGACCTGAGGCCCAGGGGTGTGCCTAAGGAGCCTGCACACTCAGGAAGAGGAACAACAAACTGTGGGAAATAATGGTTTCTAGGAGCCAGACACAATTATGTCATAGTACATACAAATATTGTAATAGTGTACAACATGTCGGTTTTCCATAAATGTCAAACAAATGTTGCATGTAATCCATCAGCGTATTTTTAAAAGAAATGGGGACAATTTATGAGAAAATAAAATACATAGAAGAATATAAAAGACTCAATTACACACCCTATGTGTAGATGACAAATGTCTTCATTACCAAGGTGATCATTTCCCTCAAGTTAATCTGGAATAACATCCCATCAAAATTTTATTGTGCAAAAGCAGCAGTTATCAATTGTTGACGCTAATGTATATGATTGAACTATTATTATAAAAATAAAGACCCAGGATTCACAATACAGAAAATTCCACAGGTATGTCACACTATTGTCATGTATGTAAGAAATAAAAAAAAAGAAAGAAACATTTAATGTAATGAACGATACAATGCAACTTAAAGGTAGATGTTAGAATTGGAGGCACAGATCACTGGCAGAGTTGCGCAGCATGGGTATGGCTCTGAGGTTACAGCACAGTTCTCCCCTAGAAGCAGAGGTTAAGGGGGTTGATATCCCTAATAGTCTTAGGGAGCTGATGACTCTCCCTTCATGATACACCCAACAAACATCTGCTCCTGTTTTGAGTCCCTCTTAAACAGACTCCTAAATGAGTTGAGAAACTTCTATACAATGAACAACTGAGAAAACACCTACCATCAAATGAGTAAGAAAAGTTGGGGTACACTTGGGCATTAGTCTGCCTTGAGCAACGAGCCTATAGTTGGGACAAGATACCCCAAATCCAGTGTCACCTTGAGTAGAGAAGATTTGGATCATAAATATAGCATATTTAACTAAATTGCCTGTAGTTGGGCCTGAATTTATCTGGTGCACAGAGAGGAAGGGACTAGAAATACACAAGTATCAAGACCAGAGGACAAACTAGTGGTTTTCCATGGCTGTGCATAATCCCTGGGGCTTCTTCTGGGACAAGGACAAAGGAAGAGTTGAATCTCAGTGTCCCAGTTTATCCCTAGAAGGGATTTGCCAGCAAATTCTGCAAATTGCTGTTGTTAACAGCTGAGCTTCTATATGGCCAGCACCAGAGTTAACAGGGGAGCACAGTTCACCACAGGAAGACCAAGTGGGAAAGCAGCACTTCCTGAGGCCCACCCCTCTCCCTAGCACCTTAGCAGGAACCTGGCCTGCCAATTCTTTCTCTAAGGAATTTGAGCATGCACCCAGTGTCCCAACTTTAACTCATTCCACTCAACAGACTGCATCCCCAAACCCCAAACCCTAAGAGAAACGGCAATTGTGCATATGTGTATCTCCCCAGATCACAGAGGAGGGGTTTCACATTGGTGTGCAAGCACTTCTGTGTTACAGTCCCCACCAGGAGTGAAGAAAAGTGGTTAAAAACCACAGATCCCAGTTTTGCTTCTGTGTTATGGTTGTTATTTTGTACCAGGGATTGGACCTTTGGGAACATTACAACTGCACCACATCCCTGGCCCTTTTATTTCTCTTTTTTTTTTTTGGTCGGGGGACAGGGTCATATTTAGCTGCTTAGGGACTTGCTAAGTGGCTGAGGCTGGCTTTGAACTTGTAATCCTCCTGCCTTGGCCTCCTCAGATGATGGGATTACAGGCATGCACCACCATGCCCACCTACACATCTCTGCTTATTCCCTTTATTTCTAGAAGAGGTTCACGGCTCCTTTTCCCAGTGGCTACTAGGCAGCCTAAATTCTAGCAAGTTCGCAACAGGAATTTAGTGCATCAGTCAAGTGTAAGACTTCCTGCAGCCTAAGCAAATCTAGAAAGGTAATGAGGGTTCTGATCTTATGGAAATGGAAGAAAGAACCTCTTTTACACGGTTGGTAACATATAAATTTGGTACAAAATATTTTTTATAAATAGCATGAAAGTTGTTTCAAAACTAAATATAGAACTACTATATGATGCAGTGAAAATAATTCTGGGTATACAGCCAAAGGAACTGGAATCTCTCTGTTAATAAATGACTTCATACTCATCTTCACTTGGCAGTATACACAGTAGCCAAGGTAAGGAAATAAGTGTCTTTTGGATAAAGGGTGCACCAAGAGATTCCTCCCACCTGCAGGACACTCAGCTACTCCTGAGAGACTACACCCCTAAATTCAGGCAGCTCTCTATCAGGATAAGACCTAGGTACTGACGTTCATGAGACCCTCCAAGAGAACTTAGGCCAGCTGTGGGATCCTACATTAAGCAGTTCTAAAACACAGGACCAGGAAAATATCAGCGAGAGGGATGAGAACCCAGTGACAAAGTCTACATGGGGGAAAGTCATTTTGACCACGTGAGGATGGACACACACAAATTTACATCATGAGACTTTTTGTTTGTTTTGTTTTTGGGTTTTGTTTTGTTTTTTTTTGTTGTTGTTGTTGTTGTTTGGTTTTTTTTTGTACCAGGGATTGAACTCAGGGCCACTTAACTCCTGAGCCACATCCCCATCTTTTTTTCTATTTTATTTAGACACAGGGTCTCACTGAGTTGCTTAGGGCCTTGCTAAGTTGCTGAGGTTGATGGAGCTCAGGATGCTCCTGCCTCAGCCTCCTGAGCCACTTGGATTACAAACTATTGTAACAGACTCAGGGCCACCAAGCCCAACACCACGTGAGTTTCATACAGATTCACATAAATGTTGTATCTCACATGGGAACATGTTTGTTAAGAGAAATGTGTGGGATTTATGAGAAACTAAAACATACAGAAGTCCATAAAAGTCTCAATTACACACCCAATGTACCAGTGACAAAAGTCATCATTACAACAATGACCATTTTCTCCACACTTATCTATATTATCCCATCAAAACTGCTCTGAACATATATGAATATATCACAGTAAATTTCACCATTATGTTTATCTATAAACCAGTAGTTTAAAACTATAAATAAACAGAAGGAAGACCAGGAGAGGATGGGGAATGAGGAGCTAGGAGGAGAGGGAAAGGGGAAGTACCACTAAAACGGAGCAAATTATACCCATGCTTCTATGATTATGTCAAATGAACCCCAACATTATGTATGAATATAATGCACTAATAAAAATATTCAGCATGCTTTATTTGTAATGGAATAAGGAACCAAAGAATAAGTTTCTAAAATTTATCCA